GGGGGGCACGGGAGCCTGAGGTGCCCCTGACAGGCCCGTGGTGCCCTTGCTAGGCCTGTGGTGCCCCTGGACCCTGGCAGGCCTGTGGTACAGTCCACAGCAGAAGTAATGTGGGGTTTCAGTCATGGGTATGTTCTGCTTCTGAAGCTTAGGAACGATTAGCCAGACTACAATGAAACTTTGAATGTAGCTTATATGTATCGTCACCCTTGCAGCTGCAACTTTAGCTATTGACATCTTCTTTTCAATCACTTCGCATTAAACAATCGCCAGTCAAAGCCAACCGTTGAGTTTGGTAAAACCCTACATTACTTTAGCGGTGGGCTGTACCTCTGGCGGGCCTAGGGTGCCCCTGCTAGGCTGCTGATGCCCCTGGGACCTGACAGGACTGTGGTGCCCCTGACAAGCCTAAAGTGCCCCAACAGGCCCGTGATGCCCCCGACAGGCCCAAGGTGCCCCTGCGTGATGCCGTGATGCCTGCGAGGCCGGTGGTGCCCCCTGCGAGGCCGGTGGGGCCCCTGACAGGCCCATGATGCCCCTGCTAGACCGGTGGTGCCCCTGGCAGGCCTGTGGTGCCCCTGCTAGGCCGCTGGTGCCCCTGGGCCCTGACAGGACTGTGGTGCCCCTGACAGGCCCAAGGTGCCCCTGCAAGGCCGGTGGTGCCCCTGTAAGGCCTGTGGTACCCCTGCTAGGCCTCTGGTGTCCCTGACAGGCCCATGGTGCCCCTGCGAGGCCGGCGGCGCCCCTGGCAGGTCTCTGGTGTCCCTGACAGACCTGGGGTGCCCCTGACAAGCCTGTGGGGCCCCTCACAGGCCCGTGGTGCCCTTGCTAGGCCTGTGGTGCCCCTGGCGGGCTGGTGGTGCCCCTACTAGGCCGGTGGTGCCCCTGACAGGCCTGTGGTGCCCCCGGGCACCAAGGGGGTCATGACCCATGTGGCCCCCCTTGGATCTGCCACTGATGCATAATATATTGATTTGTAAAGGCGTTATGGCTTATGCAATATGCAATTGCAGGCACTTGGTATCCCTCACTTATCCCTCATTGGGGCTCTGGCGGGCTCCTGAGGGCCCACGTCTATCTCCGGGAGCCCATATAGACAGGCTCCTTTGGGTCCTTTCAGTACACTATAGCATAAGAGGTCTCCATGCGATTCCTATACATACACCTGAGGGCGTACCCTGATGTCTGAGGTACCCAACTGCAGCTCCAATGGTCTCTTCTTACACTGGCGGATCCAGGGAGGGGGCATTTAGGGCCATGCCCCCTTCCCAGAGGCCTAAAGTGACCCGTTTTCCCCCTCCCCCAAACGATAATGAAACATAGTTCAATCAGGGCGTGGCCCAGGAGCCGAGTTAGACAGGGCTGTTTTACCACCTCCCGGCCCGCAAAGGGACCCAAGCACTGACTCGAAGCGGGTTAAAGAGACCCTCCCACCTTCAGAAAAGTTAATGAATTGGCATGAAAGTGATGTCGCTAGGTTCAGAAAGGGCGAAAACGAATATCTACCAAATTTTATCGAAAAATATTCACCGGTTTTCAAGAGATTAGACTTTTATTTTTGTTTACTTTTTGGGATATCCGCTGCTGTTCCTAGCGACTTTATTTGAAAGTGCGGCATTTGTTGCGCGCAAAGCAGCCTATACCACCGCATGCTACCAAACGTTTTAGTAAAATATTAAAAAATCATTAGATCTCCGCTGACGTCACACATTCAGAGGGGTATCCAAAAGCATTAGCCCCTCTGAATCAAAATGCTGCAATTTTGAAATTCAATATTTCCGATTTAAGGCATTTCTCGATGTTGTGAGTGCGTGCCGAAACCGGTAATTGTGAGCCAGGGACCCCATTTTGGCTATCTCAGCTCAAATCTAATGTTAAGGTGGGAGGGTCCCTTTAACTGGTCGATAAAAACAATGGTAAGTGTTTACAAAGTAATATAAAGGCATGGGTCGGGTGGGCTACCATTTATATATTTTTCTTTTTAGTTAAAAAAAAAATTCATAGTGTCAGGGCTGTGACGAAAAATAAGTGGCCTAAATCCGATGAGAAAACAGGATTTGGGGGTACCCTAGGTTTGGCTCCTGCATGAGTTGGCCCACCCCCCAAAACGCAGGCCTGGATCCGCCAGTGATGCTGAGTACAATAGTACCTACCCTACACGTTTAAAAATATACAGTAAAAATGCACACAATAAAATGAGCAAAGTACAGCCCACCAAGTACCTCAATAAGAATAAGAGGCATAATAAAAGCCAGTAAATCTATATACCTTAACTATAGTAAGTGAGCCCAGGCTAAAAGCAAAACACATTGTACGTAAAGTGTAAACTATGGTAAACTGTGAGTAAAAAAAAAACGTCTCATCGGCAAACTACACATTCAAAGACGAGACGTATAACTTTACATGGGCTCTAAACGTACACAGGGTATCACTAAACTCATCGACTGGTGTAACATTGGCAAGAAACACATTCATCTCATTCGGTATCCTGCAGAATAGCCCGAACTTAATTATATTTACCCTCGCCCGCGGCACAGTGAAGAGGGCGTTTGTGCGGGTCGGTCGAGCCGGCACATGAAGGGGGAAGGATTGGAGCCTGGAGGAGAAGCGAGGAGTTGTACTTTGAGCGGACTACATTGCAAAGGAATATCAGATCATGTTGCACTCTTCGAGCGGCTAAGGATGGGAGGCGGAAATGCTGAAGGAGATCAGGGTAGGAAAGGGACTGTGTTTGACCAGTGGTGTGATGAAGGAGCTATGTATATAGGTATATATTTTTAAAACTTTAATGTAGCAGGCATGTAAAGCACCAAATTCCACATAGAATGCTGACAATTTGATGCTTTTATCTCCAACCCTTCTTGAGTTATATAACAAAACACCTCAAAACTGTCCCTTAACACTTCGTTTTACGGTATAATAATCATTTATGGAGTGAATAAACCATTCTCTTATGGTTACATGAATGCAGTGAAGCCAGTACACCCCCAGAAAATTGTATATTATCACGATAAGTTTAAGGTTAGTTTAATGAGCTTGGAGTAGACCAGGGGTCTATTTGGTGCTCATATCGTGAATTTGGGACAGGTATGACATGATCCAGCATTGGATGATCAAACATCCGGAAATTCCCATTGGTGGGGGGTGGGTCGCTGAAGAAAAGTTCGACCGAGCCTGTTTGTCAGTATGTGAGTATGTGAGTTTGTCCAAGCTTTTTTGGACCTGGAGTCAAAATGGGTGGACCGATCGGGACGAAAGTGGGACCGTTCGACTCGTCTCCGGCGAGGTAAACTCTTGGTGCTGGCCTCGGTTCGCCCAGTGCTTCGTGGCACATGCTATTCCGCTTCAAAGTTTCGGTGACACGAAATTTTTTGTCAAGGCTGCAGGTAAACCCGAGGTCACAAAGTCACACTGGCGGGACACATCGGTAACACCTTGAACCAGTTTCCAGGGGGGTCACCGTCTGCGAGGGGTGCAGGCTGCACGTGCTGGGGGCGGAAAACCGTTTTGACGTGGGGTCCTCTGGTTCAAAGAAATTTTGAGCAATCAACTTCAACATCGGTTCAATGGTAGTCCCAGGCAAGGCCTCCAAAATAGTGCACATTTGGTTGAGCTAAACTCTGTGGTGCGAGCCCCCCTCCCCCTCAGTCACTCGCGTTATGGAAAATACCCCAGTCATGCGCGGGTTAAGGAATCTTTAAGGTCCTGAAGCGTCACCGTTCTATTCAATTCCTTCAACTGTATTTGTGAGAGCTTTTCCATGTGTAGATCATCTACAAATTTCTCCGCCTCTGTGCAATCAATGGGCTGTTCAGTAAATAACTCAGAAAATTGTTGCACTAATATATCCATTATTTCTGTTTGTTTTGTTCGCCGTTCATTATTTGCATCACACAGACAAGCGATGTTTTTATTAACATAATTTCTTTTTTCTAACCCCAAGAAGTATGCTGTCGATTTCTCACCTTCTTCGTACCAGCGAGCCCCGCTTCGTGTCACAATACCCTCCATTTTTTTATTTTCCTAAGGCCCTCTAATTTTTCCCTACAGACTGATAGTCTTGACTGTACCTACTTCGTCGGGCGTCTCGCCTTCTTCATGATCTTCCAATCTTTGAATTTCCTTCATTACTTTGAACTCTTCTTCTACTAACTTCCTACGTCTATGAATTGAATAGGAAATCGTTACAGTGCGCATGTTCAGAATCAGAGCTTCCCAAAATGCACTCCAGCTGATCATCACCTCAACTTCTGTTGGTTTTTCTCTGACAAAAGTAACTGAATAAACTGGAAGAGCATAAACTAAGGTCGTGTCCCTTATTGTCTTTTCTATTAATGGTACATATTCTCGATCCATTAGGAAAGATGTGTTCATTTTATAGAACCCAGACAGGCATTGTTAGTGACTGGGCCCTGTTGACAGACACTGTTAGTGACTGGGCCCTGTTGACAGACACTGTTAGTGACTGGGCCCTGTTGACAGACACTGTTAGTGACTGGGCCCTGTTGACAGACACTGTTAGTGACTGGGCCCTGTTGACAGACACTGTTAGTGACTGGGCCCTGTTGACAGACACTGTTAGTGACTGGGCCCCCGGCCCTGCTGACAGGCACTGTTAGTGACTTGGCTCTGCTGACAGACACTGTTAGTGACTGGGCCCTGTTGACAGACACTGTTAGTGACTGGGCCCTGTTGACAGGCACTGTTAGTGACTGGGCTCTGTTGACAGACACTGTTAGTGACTGGGCTCTGTTGACAGACACTGTTAGTGACTGGGCCCTGTTGACAGACACTGTTAGTGACTGGGCCCTGTTGACAGACACTGTTAGTGACTGGGCCCTGTTGACAGACACTGTTAGTGACTGGGCCCTGTTGACAGACACTGTTAGTGACTGGGCCCTGTTGACAGACACTGTTAGTGACTGGGCCCTGTTGACAGACACTGTTAGTGACTGGGCCCTGTTAACAGACACTGTTAGTGACTGGGGCTCTGTCCGCAGGCTCTGTATGAGGACGTCCGCTGCAAGTGCGTCTGTCCTAATCCGAATGTCGTCAATGGCTCATCATCGGATCGCAAACTCTACATTGCCAATGTCGTCCCAAATATGTGGTAAGTGTACATTTGGATTGTGGCCAATGGCCATGAAGCGTAGGGGAGAGTGGGGCACATTCGTGCAAAAAAAAAGATAAATCCATATAACTGTTCTTTGGTTGGTGGTGGTTGGTGCAATGGCAAAAGTGATGATTGTAGTATGGAAAGGAACTATTCCAGATATTTTCCTCTTTAAAAGCTATCCTCTAAAATTATCGCTTCTATAAGAAAAAAAATGACTTTTATAACTGAACGTTTGCACGAACCTGCCCCAGGTATGGGGCACATTCGTGCAAGGGTGGGGCACTTGCGCGCACCCTGCAAAATTCGAGGAATTGCGGGGCATTACCAGAAATTTACCAAAAAAAAATGTCAGGGGTCACTTCACTTGATTCCTTTAGACAAGAATCAGGGTTGGCAAGGGGTGGCAAAAACTGGTTTTTGCCAGTGGTTTTAACCGGTTTAAACCGGCTGGCAGAAACCCTGGTGGCAAAAACTGGCAAAAACAGGCAAAAACTCAGGTAGTCAAGACTTGCAACTTTCTGGTTAGCAATTGATTTGAAATGTACAAATGCATTTCCGGATGTTTAAGAGACGCGCTAAAGATTCTGAAGTTTGTCCCATTAGCTACCCGGGATGCAATGTCTATGCATGTCGGTAGACATCCGTCAGACAATGCATTTCCGAAGAATCTTGGCATTTCCATGCATCACGGTTAGGGTGCTACCTACTGCAGGTGCACACGTGCAGGGGTCGCTTTCGACCAGATCTCGAGAATGGCTCTGCCGATTGCGCTCAAATTTGGAACACCGTTACAGACAGATTAGTATGGGTGTCGCAGATAAGTCAGTCGGGGTCAACTTTCTACGAGCGCACGTGTGGGACGACACTTCCAGTTCTCGAGAACGGCTGCGTCGATTGAGCTCAAATTTGGTACTAATACCGTTAGGAACCAGTGAGTATGGGTGCCGTCACGTGCACAAATCAGTGGCAGGCACCCCTTCGCACTTCTGCATGTGCAGGAATCACTCTTGCACTGGCTCATTTGTCGCCCCAAAAAGACGTACTGGTTACTAATGGAAAGCGGGAAGCCCATGAAATGTTTTTATTGTATGAAACACTGGTCGAATGGTCAATATGTCACATCTTTTTGAAATCATATAAGTTTCACTGAATCCCCCTTAGAATGTTTCCAATTCAAATGCATGTCTAGGCAAATCATTGTAATGGTTTTGAGTTTTTGCCAGTTTTTGCCACTTTTTGCCGGTTAAAACCGGTTTAAACCGGCAAATGGCATAAACTAGTTTTTGCCGGCAAAAATGCCAACCCTGACAAGAATGCATTGCACAACAAATATAGAAAGAATGGGCTGGCCAACAAGAATGTGCCAACTGCCGACCATCGGCCCGCCTCCGTGTCCTCGCCAAGGTCGCGTGAATTTCTTGTCACCAGGGCTGCGGAGTCGATGGATTTTCGGCGACTCCGACTCCGACTCCGACTCCGGCTTTCAAAAACCAGCTCCGACTCCGACTCCGACTCCGGGCAGAATTGTCGACTCCGACCGACTCCAACTCCCGACTCCGACTCCGCAGACCTAGCAGGGCTGCGGAGTCGACAGATTTTCGGTGACTCCGACTCCGACTCCGGCTCGGGTTTCTAAAATCGACTCCGACTCCGACTCCGACTCCGGTCACAACTGTCGACTCCGACCGACTCCGATTCCGACTCCGACTCCGACTCCGCAGCCCTGCTTGTCACGACGTCGCAAGCAGCCAAGACGGGTCAGGCGAGCGTCATAAGTGAAACCTACTACAGATAAAGTCATAAATCGCAAAAACGAAAAAAAAAATATGCACGAATATGCCCCTAGGCACGAACCTGCCCGAACCTGCACGAACCTGCCCCACCACGTTATTTGTAATATATTTCAAAATTTCTTGTTGAAAAAAAGACACTTTTTCAACAAATTATTACAACGAATATTACAACGTTGAGACAGCAGGCAGCATGGTACAGTGTTGTGTTCTACAGTACACGAGGGGCGGCAATGATAGACATATTTTCATAATTTACCTTGAGCTCCTGCAGTCACTCGTTTTCCCATAAACTGCTGAAAACGAAATGCCCCATGCACGAAAGTGCCCCACTCTCCCCTACCTATACGTGTTGATCGTGTACTTATTGACTTAACATCAGTTGTATCATGCACGTTGTATGCGCTTGCACTTTCAGATATATTACGCTCCTCTTCTGTTTTTACGATACTTTTACCTGGTGCCGTGAAGCAGTCTATTGATCCAAGTCAATTGTACGGTTCCATCCCCATAGTGTATTATTCTGGTCACTGGGCGGTGCCGGATGAGATGAGCCGGCCGTCGTCCTATCGCGGCTGCTGGCCACCCGGTGGGTGTCGGCGTCCGGATCGCCTTATCCCCTGGCTATCCACCTTCCCGTCGCTGCCTTCTTCGTCCATGCTCTGTTCTCGGCGCGGCGTGCATACACCTTTTTACGGCCAAATATAGAAATAGTGCACACAGTTCAGTAACCCGCGCACCGACGGGGGTCTGCGCCAACTTAGAACCGACGGGGGGCGGATGACCGCCCCCCCCCCCCCCTGAGATCTCGAGAACGAAGCAAGATAGCGACAAGCGGTAAACGGCATCGGATACGCACGGACAAGGTCTACTAGTACCAAGGTCATTTTCAGGTCAGGTCAAAGATGACGTCACAGGGATCAAAAAAGTCAAAATGGCGGCGCTAGATATGGAGAGTTTTCTCCAATAACTTTCGAATTAGTCAAGATAGGAACAAACTAAGGGTATCATCGTGATCCTCTCGTCAATCCGCATCCGCAATGATATATATGACCTCGAAAGGTCAAGGTCAAAGGTTGACCTCAGGTCACGTGACCTCGAGGTCATCATGTATATCGTTCGATGCGTCTTGACGAGCTGAACACAATGAGACCATCTGCGTGGCTGCATCTTGTTCCTGTACGGAGTTATTGGCAAAAAAACATTTGGTGACCTTTGATGACGTCACATGACCTTACAGCTGCCCAACAGCAAAACAGGCCTCAAGATAGTGAAGGTTGATCGTATATGAACTGAAGTCATGTATGGTATATGGGGCCATTCCGATCCGTTTTAGTGGTAAAAACAGGGAGTTGATTATTCCCCCATTGACTTCTAATGGGGAGGTCGAGAAATTGACCTGACCTTAGGTCATCGATATCAAAATTCCGAGATAAACAAATTGTAGCTACTAATGAACTTATAACATCCTGCGACTTTCAAAGGCCTCCAACATCTACTGTAGCTCTGGCACGGTGACAAAGTTGCAAAAAAGTGACTTGAGATTGGGTCATTCGAAGTGACCTGGTGACCTGATCTTAAAAGTTAGGAGGTTCAAACCTGCACACCATGTGTAAAATTGATTAGAGAATAGTCGTACCAAATTTCGCGGCGCTACGCGCCGCGGTTTTCCCGCTATTTGCGAAAAACCTCAAGGGGCGGATATCCGCCCCCCCCCCCCCGTCGGTGCGCGGGGTAATAGTTCAACCGATTTCCACAGTTCCGCATAGTGCACCGCTAGTTCGGCCGAGTGCATGATATTCAGTAAAAGTGCACTCGTTTCCAAAAACGAGCAATTAATTAGGAAGATAGTGCGCTCAAGTTCAATCGAACGTACAGGTCTCGCGGGTTTTAGCGGTAGGTTTTGCACCTAGAAAATTTAGTGTAGTTCAGGGCTCAGGCTATATCGACACCTTTTTTTAAACCCACATTTGTTCTCCCGTGAAGTTCAGACAAGTTGTTAAGAAACCTTCAAAAAAGGTACAGTCACTCGATTTTTCTCAAGTTTGTCTGTCTTGGCAGATCAAGCAATGCCAGAGCAAGCTTACGAACACACAAATTTGATCAGGATCGGACGATTGGACACTTCTAAAAAGATATCTTTCGTGCTTCCCGGAAATTCACCGGAGAACAGATGTGGGGTTTAAAAAAAAGGTGTCGGGGAAAAACTGTCGAGCGAAACCTAATTTCATTGACCTGAAGGTCACCGATGACGTCACAGGTCAGGTCAAAGTAGAAATTATTAGCATTTTGGCTTGTTCACGTTTTGGGCTCTGGCCGCCGTCTTACATGTCAGATCAGGCTCATTTTTGGTTCACACACTCGTGAACAGATGCTCTAGATACCCTGAGGGTACCAAACTTGTACTTTGATTTTCAGGTTAAGCTCAGGTCATCACAGGTCACGAAAATATTATATCATGCGTCGGTCACGTGACACATGTTTTATGGTCCATCTAGGCCATGGATTTCGAATTTGATGTCGTCTGTGTCATTCGAGGTCTTTTTGAGTCGAATTTAGCTTAGGTCAGGTCACTTTCAGGTCAAAAAAGGTCAAATTTTGAAGTTATAATTTTTCAACAGAAAAGGTGTCTATTGGATGCAGTTTGAGCTCAGGAACACGATAGTGCTATTTATATTGGCGTACGATGTCAAATACGTGCTGAAAAATTGATTTGAAAAATTAATAATTGTGATTTTTTGCAATAATGCGTATAACTTGGCCATTTTTGAAGATATTTAGCTAAAACTTGCTAGAGTTAGTCATAATAACGCATTCTATCACATATATTCCGGTTTTTCGAAAGATCAAAAGCTTTTTGAAAAAATGGTTTATGTAAATTTTGAATTTTATTATATAAAATTTTCGAAATGTTCAAAATTTTGAAAATCCGAGATAGCAGTTTGATAGCGCAGTCTATTCTGAGTCCTCTCATGCAAAGAAATTGGATCTAGCTTAAAAACTGAGCCCTTGAGAGCGATTGCCGTGTTTCAATGTTTTGCGTCGAAATCGGCCGAACATGACGTCACTCTAACGTCATTTCCGGCCGACCTATGGTAGCTACGAAGTTCAAATTTTGACACAATGTGTCAAATTGATGCAGCCGAAGGTACTGAAAGTTTGGCGTCGATACGTCAAGCGGTTTGGAAGTAATTGCAGAAAAAC